ACTTGTAAGTTGCAATCAAATCACTTCTTTGTCCTGGTTTTGATAAATGAAACAAACTCAGTCCAAGATTCTCATAGAAAAACACTTTCTCCAAATCTCTAAAGATTTTAGTTGCTGTTTGTTTTTCTCTTTGATTTTTCAGCATCCTTTAAAGGATGGACACCAGAGCTGAACGTAGTATTCTCCACTTTGATTAATGAGGGGAGACCCCATTGCATTACACAGCTTCTGTGTGAGGGGAAGTGGAGGCGCAGGTACAGATCTCATCCTGCTGGCAACCAGGACCTGAGGCAACGGCCTCAAGTTGTGTCAGGGGAGGTTTAGTTTGGATACTAGAAAAAGGTTCTTCCCCCAGAAGGGTGGTTGGGCACTGGAACAGGCTCCCCAGGGAAGCATCCAGCCTGACAGAGTTCAAGAAGTGTTTGCACAATGCTCTCGGTCACAGGGTGTGGCTCTTGGGGATGGTACTGCACAAGGCCAGGAGCTGGACTCCATGATCCTTGTGGGTCCCTTCCAACTCAGCATATCCTGTGATTCTCTAATACTCTCATGCAAACATAAAATAACCCTTCTGCAACAGAGAAGTAAGAATCACTTTTTACTTCGGCATTGAAAGCTCTTATTATCTCTCTTTGTTAAGCAGCAGTACAAGATGATCATTGCTTGTCTGGCTTTGCCACTAGATCCTCTTCAGAGCTGACGTGTCACAAGACACTTGTGGTAGGATTAGCTTGTGCTCTTTCTTCTTAGTTTTTTATTGAACCACGTCAAAATGCATTTTGTCTGTAAGCATCCACTTGCTATTGAGTACAGTTCAGGGTCCATGATGGCTTTTTTCTCATATTTACTACTCTGCCAGACTTTATCTCTCTATAAACTTTACTGGCTGTGATTTTTTATTTACTTCCAGATCATTAGGCATCAGGCCCATTTCTGATTGTGGAGCTGTGCGAGATACCATCCCCATTTGAAGAGTTGTTCTTCCTGACAACTCTCTTTAAAGGCCTTACAGCTGTTTACTCTTAACCCATTTATGATGTGCTTTATGGATGTTGTAAAATAATCACAGGTCTGGCTTTAAATCAGAATATCATGCACTACTAAGTGAAGAGAAATCTGTGTGGTTAACTTCTTCAGCTAAACTCACAAGTCCAAGAGAATCACAAAAGGTTTGACACATTGATTGTCATTAATTATATTTGTGCTCATTACTTTATCAGCAGCGGACATCTGGCCATGTGACCTATCACTGGAACAAGCTGCTTGCCTTTTTTGCTGCATTAAAACAGCATTAACACAGCATTAGAGGTCTCTTGGTCTTCTGAGATTTTGCCTCCATGCCAAGGTTTGTTTACTGTAGATTACTGACTCTAATCAATAGGTGACACAGTGAACTCCTTTGGACTCTTGGGTAAAAATCATTCAGATCTGGAAATACTAAAATATCTAACCTTAGTGGGTGATGTTTAATAGCTTAAGAAACTAATGGACTGGAAAGCACTTCTTCATCTTCTTAAAATGTTGTCTTTTTTTTTTTTAATTTTTTAATACAGACTGGAAGTACTTAAGTCAGTCTCCTTTTTTACAATGTATGAAAAAATATTATCTCCGCTATTCCTGAACCTTGATAGAATTTATTTTGTCCCTTAGACATTTAAAGTTCTTATTGTCCTTAACCTTACCACATACTTGTTTTCAACTTATGTTTAGTTTCCCTTATCAATTTTCTGTATTCATGACTTCTAATTTGTATTGACTGTCATCTGTTTTCTGATACAGTATAACTCATTTTTCCTACATGTCTTCCCAGTTTCTGATTGCTGCTTTGACTTTGCAGCTGAATAAGGATGATGAGCTCTCAAGGCAAAGCATCCCTTTTCTTGATTGAAAAGATGTACTTTTTTTCTAGCAAATTTTTCTGTAAGACCTGCCAATTTTCATTTATCTTTCATGCCTAATTTTTCCCCATCGATTTCACTTGTATTTTTCTTCTGCTGTTGAGAAATTAGCTCTTTGCAACTGCCCTCTGTTTGCCCACATTTAATGTAATCATCGCACAGTCATTATCATCTGTAATTTTAGAAACCTTTAAACTCTGTCAGCCCCAGCATATATCCTTATAATCAAAGCTCATTAAAACAGTGCTTTCATTTTTTCCCTTCTGCATTAGGTATGAAGAAGAGACAGGTGCTTAAGGAATAACTCACCTTATTTTCTGCTTTGATTTAGCACTCTGGAACATCCCTGTACTTGCATGCCTCCTGAGTTTTATTAGGTAGCATATGCATTCAACATCCTTTGGTTCTGGATTATCAATAACTCTAAATCAAGTAATGACATCTTTAATGCAGACTGCCACCTCCACTTCTTTTTTCTGCTCACTTATTCCTAAACCTATTAAACCCATGGATTTTAACATTCCAGACCTGTGAATTGTCCCGCTAGGTTTCACCAATGCCAATTATATCAATGAGAATTTCTAATCCTTCTGCTTGTTACAGAGTCTCTTTGCACTGCAACATGGGCAGCTGAAACATTTCTTTCCCTGTGTGCGGCCATCTCAGTGCAGTTTGTCTGTGATGAGCTGAGTTCAATGTCGCTTTTTCGCTCTTGCACTCGTGGCTTGCCTCACAGGGTGTGGAGTATGTGATGTGGTGTCAGGATTGTGTCAACATCCATGTTTTATAGCAGTGCTAGAGGCTAACTTTTAAGATGGCTTGCTCTTTTGCCTATAAGAACCATAAAAATTGCTGCATTGGAACTTGGCACCTGTCAAGTCTGTCTGTCTTCAGTTAGCTCATGATAACATATTTAATGCCAAGACATACTACATAAAGGAAGGAAAAGATGTCTTTGTTTGTCATATTTACAGCAGCAGAGTTTTGTGGGAGTTAGTGGAAAAGGCACTTCTTGTGCTCTGGTCCAAAGATGATGAGACAGAGTCCAGGACACAGCAGGATCTGTTCAACTGTTCTGGAGGGAGGAAGTCCCTTAGATAGTAGCCATAAGTCAAGACGGAATATTTCTCCATCTGCTTTTCACCTAAATGTTTTTCTTGTCTCATTGCTCTCCCTCTAGATAATTATCACAGGGTTTGTTGAAATGGGGCCAGTGGTGCTGGCCGTGTCACATGTTTAGTTATTCAGCAATAGACTGGGAATAAGTGGCATCTCTCCATCTTCCCAAGGGTTTTCAGAGGGAATGTTTTAAGTTGTGCAGGCAGGAGCTTCTGAGGCAGATGAGCAGCTGTCCATCACAACAGGATGCCTCATCTGCAGCCTCCCTGGGCCTGGGTTACAGGGACTGTTTGCTGAGCAGGGGACAGACAGATGGGAGAAAGTCTTTGCAGCAGAGGACATAAAACATGTGTAATAAATGTGAGACTGGAGGTCTGGAAGTACTGATACTCATTCACATACAGATAGAGTGATAATATAGATTAAAATTTCTTTATAATCCCTTGAAAAAAATTCTTGTTTTCTATAAATGGTCAATCCCACAGTTGTGATCTCATTCATCAGTTTCAAATCCTTGGGATGACCAGGAAAGAGAAGCTGACCCAACTGAAAAGTGGTTTCCCAGTCCATAGCAGGCTTGTTGGGGTCTCCAGGATCACGCTAAAGGAAGAGAGCCAACACTGGTTCTTCCTGAAGCAAGATAAGCATCTACTCAACCAGCATCTTCCTCTGTAAGGGAAAGACTCTTGGGTTACACTCCAACAATGCCTGATAGGGCATCAACCCAAGCAAGGAAAAATGACTCTCCCTAGCAAAACACATACCTTTATCAGAAATTGGCTAGTGGTCCGTGCTTATCCTTGGACTCTCAGCCACAATGTTTTATCACTGAGTGCAACACCAGACAGAGATGCAATTTGCTCTTGTGCCTCAGCTTGAGCAATGAGAAGTTTATCTGGTATGAGGTTTATCACAGTATGTAAAACGGCAATTACTCTGAAAACTGCTTCTGGTGCATGTTCACAACACAACTTCTGTGCAAAAGCACCGGGGATATTATTGTCCAGCTTTCTGCAAATCATAGTTTCCATTGCCATTGGACATGCGTCAGGATGGGTATCTTATTCATTTTCCCCAGCTAGGAAATATTTTCTCTGCCTGCCTTAATCTCTTCCCCTGCCACATTCAATACATTGTGAGTGTCAAATCACCAAGTGCCAGCACTTGTGTCACTCCGGGCTAAGGAAAAGCCCAGGTGCCTGCTGCAATCCAAATCATTCAGGGGAGGCTTGGTCACCTCTCTGCTGAGTCAAGTGTTTAAAAGCGAATACATCACAGGAAGGGGAAAATCAGCTGTTCCCTCAGCCTTTCATCTGTGTCTGAATGATAGAATGGGAGAGGAGCTCAGTTCCATCTGAGCAGTATTAATTGTGGCTGGATTGTCACCGGTGCTACAGGCAGGAAGGTTTAGCAGTGGTGTGTGTGAAGAGAAGCATATTTGTCACAACAGCTTAGGGCTCCTCTGTGCTGGCAGGGGGGTCTGGATTGAAATCCTGGGATGATGAAGGGTGTCAGGTGGCTGTTTACCTTTCCTGGAACCCTAACATACCAGTGAAGACTACAGACAAAAAAAAAAAAAAATCACAGCACTGCATCGCAACGTGCCTTGATGGTGCTTAAAGATCTCTCTTTGAAGGAGCCAGCTTAAGGCATGGGCATCACAATTCCTAGTGCTAAACTCTGAGCAAAGCATGATTTACACCCCAAGCCTTCCTGTGCAAATGTGCTCCATGCCTTCAGGTCTGAAGTGTCGGGATTTATTCTACCAGACTCTGAGATAATATGACAAATTTGCATCTTCAACTAAATCTCACAAATTTCACCAATCCCCCCAGCATGTTGCTCTACTTCATTCCATCACTAGCAGCTCTCTTTCTTCCAGCAAGAATAAGAAATTGATGGTAAGTAAAAGAGAAAGCAGATAACACTTAGGTATATAAACTGTCCAATGGGTCATTTATTCAGCCTGCAGTGGGAAGAACCAGGAGTATGACCCGAAGTTTAGCTTGCAATGGACAGAAATTCCTACAGGCTTTTATAATGGACACGCTACTGTCCTGCTGCTGCAATGTGCAGTGATTTGGGAACATTTGAATGCAAGAGTTTTCCAAGGTGATACAGTCCAGTCCCTGCTAACAAAAGCAACTGTACCTCAAGGCTCCTTATAAACTGATCAGGAGTATCCCATGTGGCTTGACCCCTTCCTCCCTTGGACCCCACGTAAGGCCAAGGGCTGTGAAAGACTTCAAAGCCTATAAACAAAGAGAAGTATATAAACAAAGAGAAGCATATAAACAAAGAGAAGATACTTGCCATAGTGGCAGAGAAAGTTCAGCTGCTTAACATTGATACATTCAAGGGAATCATCACACTGAGCCCTAAATGTTACAGAACACCAATTAGCTGTCCCTAACAATCAGGTTATTGAAAACTTGTGCTTCATTCCAATGTTAATCCAAACCAAACAGATGGAGCAAAAGGAAGAACAGTACAGCACTCCTGTATGTGTTGGTAGAAATATTTATTGAAACTTATGTTAGTAAATGTAGAATTTTCATTCTGTGGTGGCTTGTGCTGACTGAGAGTGGTTACAGCTGTTCCACAGGATGGTGAGGCTGAATGCTGAGTGGGTGCTTTTTGTCTTTGTCTATAAAGATCACAGTTTTAAAAGATGCTGTATTAAACACTAGTTATTATAATAGTATACACATACAAAAATGCTGCAAGCCCAGACTTTTCACAGTGTTTGTGTTATTGGGAAGAGTCTCAAAAAATGCCAACCCTACTTTTGGTCTTCCATTTGCTGTTATATATTTCCCTAATCTTACTCTTCTTATGTGTATCTTCCTTAAACTAAGAGATCACATCCTTCTCAATCTTTCTTTAACAGGAGTGTCCCAAGCAGATAATCATTCACGTCACCCATCTCTGAGCTACTTCCATTTCTACTCCTGCCACATGAAGGCTGGTGACTGGGAATGAACACAATATTTCACATGAAAGCACACTATTGATTTACTGAATGGCTTTATATTTTCAGTAATCTCTTTCACACACACTTTCTTGCTACTGATGCTAGAGGAGTAAATGGATAAAAAATGTCTCTCAAATGCACTAAAATGGAAAATCTCAAGCATAATCTCTTCCTCCCCCTGGAAAAGTAACACATCTGACACCCTCTGGGTTGCAGAAAGTGCATATCCATCTTGGATTTTCAGAGAGGTGAACTTTTGCCTTTCAGTGTGACTTACAAGAAAGTTGGTATTTATTGTGTTACTGCCCATTTGCAAAGTACCTGAGAACGGGGATTCAGTTAGCTGAGAATGTGAATAGCTTTTTTTGGGCTCGGATATGTTAAAGAAGGGAATGCTAAAGAATTTTTCTTTGCCAGTAACCATTTCTGTAAGTGGACTTTAGCAGTAGGCATCTGTAACTGTTTTAACAAAATATTCTTCTTTCAATAAAAAAGATATGGGTCATTCATAACAGTTATAAATTTGATAGCATAAAAATGTATAGCTAAACTGAATTCCTGAAATCCAGAATATGTACAGATGCTCTCAGACTAGGTAATAAGTACCTCTTTTTCTTTGTAGCTTTTGTTCTGAAATTTCCCCTATGAATATACCATCCCCTGGAATGCAACACATCAGCAAAGTTTGTCATACCTAAAAAAAATAATTTTAAGAGGAGACTCTCTTTTACGCCATATCCTGTGGAAAATAAGTATCAAGAACTTTTAGGAAGTCAGCAGTCACTGACTCCTTCTGGCCAGCCCTGGCCTGCTCTTCTCAGCCATCTAATGGATCCCTAATAGGTGCAGTTGGACTTTAAAGGAACATTTTCCTTGTGTCCCTAAAGCAGCAGTGTGGACACACTCCCAGGCAGCTGTGGACTGAATGCTGGCAGCCTTCCTGCTGACTCCCAGGTTTTTCTGCTCCTGTAAGGACTTAAGGATGAAGACTGTAGACATACAGGCACTTTGACTCCATCTATCTTGGCATATGCCAGTGTGGATAAAGGAGTGTATGGCTACGTGCTGAGGCTGTCTGCTAGAGCCCATTGACAAGAAATAAATGAAAAGCATAACAGTTGTCATTATCACCAAGTGCCTCCTGGGCACCCTCACTGACCAGGAGCCCTGTCTCACAGAATGTGCAATGAAGCAGGCACTAAGATCTCTTTGCACCCACCTTGCTGTCTGTTGTCCTCTCCAGAGTCCAACACTGAGGATGCACAGCCACACTGCATGGTCCAAATGGTTCAGGAGTTAGCCCTAATAAAAACAGGCAGCTGTGTGAGTAATGACAAGTAATTTACTCTATTTTTGGCATTGAAAGTCAGCTGAAGTTATCATTATTGGTGTAGAACTAATCCAGTCCTGGAGAGCAACCTCAGTTTCCGTTACGGCCATGAGTACAGAAATGAACATGAGAAATTTGCAGAACTTTATTATTTAGTCAGGACACCACTTTTGTTAGCAGGTCTCCTGTACATAAAGGTCTTTCCTGCGTGCTTATAACAAGCCCTGAGCCATTAGTGTGGACTTGCAAGTACCAAGTATGAATCTTTAACTCTGAGTGTATCTTGGGGATTAAGCACAGTTGTGCCTCTGAATTTTAGCCAACATGTGTTTGATGTCAGCCTACCTATTAGCAGGCAGCACAGGTGCTTAACAGACAGGGATGTGAAAAATAATGTCCAAGGAAGTTAGGACTCCATGCAAATACCTCTGGATTAAGAGTTTGCTAGACATGACACATTTCAAAGCCACAGGGAGAACTTCTCAGTCTGTTATTTGATCTTGCTTGTGTTTATCACCAAAGAATCAGAATGTTTAACAGTGAATGCACCCAAATCCTAGAGGATGGCAGCAGGGCTAGAGACAGCTCCTCTCCAAACAGCTCTTTTAGCATCACACTCTGCTGCTATGACCAGAGATACTGCTGTGGTGGGTGTATGAAGAGATAAACAGATGCATAAACTAGATTAAATGGTTCAGGATGATAAGGTTCAGGTCACTAAACATTAGTTTGATGGGTCAAGTGCAGTCCCCATCCTTGTATGTTTCCAAGACAAGAATAGACAAAGCCCTGAGCAACTCAATCTGATCTCATAGCTGACCCTGCTCAGAGTGGGGGATCAGACCACATGATATCCTGAAGTCCTCCCTTTCAATCTGAATTAAATTGCTCTGTGATCCTGTTGCCAGGGTCCCAAATCAGTGCTCTGATGCCAGAGCTTCTTCAATCTGTCATGCTTTCTTAGCTGACTCCAATCCTGCTATTAGTTTCACTCCTTGCAATGAACACTTTAAAAACCTGCATTCAGTGAAGCCAAAGGTCTTGAAAAAGAATATCAACAGGGAATCTGTGGCTGTGAAATTCACAGCCAGAGCTCTGACTAAAATTGATGAACAGTAGCTATAAGCTACCATCAACTTTCCCAGAACACATTTATGTTTCATTAGGAATAGCAAAATATGGTGCCTGTTTTCCACTCATGATATCACCTTACAAATATATAGCTTTCAATCTTTTTCAGTTTCCCCCACTCCTAACTTTGCTTCATTTAGATATGATCATGGATAAGTTCTGTTTCATTTCATGGACCATCTCTCATCAGTCATATTAAGCAATTTTATCAAATTTAATTTCTAATACAAAAATGTTTGTTTACTTTAATACCCCTTCCTCAGCCTAAACAAACAAAAAATTAGAGAAGAATCAAGTGCTTCTTTTATTCAGAAGAATTAAAATCTCTAAGGGAACAAGCATTTCTCATGAGCATTTGTTCCTTTGAAAACTCAGTATTTGTTCAGAAAAAAAAAAAAAAGAAAAGAAAAGCAAGCCTTTGATGAAGGTATTAGCAGTTCATTCTAACCAGGATAATAAATTAAATGCTCTCAAAGCAGAAAGAGACCAATAGCCTCTTAAAACAGATAACTGCATGTGATAGCTTTTTATGGACTGATGAACTTGGCACAGCATGCTCCTACCTTGCTTCCTCAGGACACTTTCCCACCTCCAGCTTAAGGCTACTGTGCTATAGAAATCCCTGCACCATGGCAGGAATCTCTCTGTGAATGTCTGCAGTGCATATAGGGGCTATATATAGTCTGAAATCAGGTTAATTGCCTGTAATAGTGCCCTTCACTCTCTTTGTCAAGTTTATCCTTGCTGAAAGATGTCACCCTGACAACTGCTCAGGCTGAAATCCTCCATCTTCCACAGGAGAGTGGAATAAACTCCAAATGTAAGACAGACTCCAGCAACTTTTCATCCCTTCTGACGAGTTTGAGTGTAAGGGGGACAAGTGTGGTGACAGCTTTAACCTTGACCATTCCTCAAGAGCAGCAGGAGAGGATTGTCCACAAGAGGCAGCCATTGGCAGCCACAGGTAGCCACTTATGGTTATTTTTGAGTGGAGGAGATTTGAGGTAGTCATATTATTTCAAAGTCAGAAGCTTCACACATTTTTATCTGCATGCATTTTGATGTGTATGCATCTTTGCCACTCTGTGAGCTCCTGGTGCAATGCTGTCAATAAACAACAACTCCTTGGAGTGTGGTGTTCATGGCATAAAGCAACCAGGGGGAATTATTATCACAGAGGTGATCACAGCCCAGGTGCTGCTCTCACTGACCAGGCACAGTCCCACAGCACCAGCCAAGGTGCTGATTAAGGCAGAGTCCACTGACAGCCTCAGGCAAGGCAAGGTGATGAGTCAAGTCCAGGCTGCCAGCAGGGAACAAGACCAGCCTTTCTACAAGGCAGACCCAGTATATCTCCAGACAAAGAATTAAATAAGCCAGGACAGCACTGAGCACAGGTAGAGGCAACACAACCCAGGAGATTTATTGAAGTTCAGGTCTGGGCTATTGGGCAGAGGTAAGCCAGCCAGGGTAGTTCAGGTCTGTCAGAGCCCTCAAGGCATGGCAGATAAAAAGTTGTAAATAAAGGGGAGCACCATTAAACAGAAAATGTGAATATTGAACCCCAGGGAGCTGACTCATAGCATGTTGTGAACAATTGTGTTAGGGCTGTGAGAGCTGTGTGTGAACTGATTATTCCAAGGTTTTTTGGTGGTGGTTTGGTTTGTTTTGATTTTGTTTGTTTGTTTGTTTGTTTTGGTCTGGTTTAGGTTTTTTTGGGGGGGTGGAGGTAAAGGGTGGAAAATATTTTTTTGCATTGGGATACAGGCAGTAATACACAGACACAAAGGAGACACATCACTCAACAGAACAGATTCAACACAGTAGGGCAAGGGAAATTAGGTAGAAATCTGGACAGGGAGGGGGTGGGGTGTGAAAGGAATAGTTTAGCCTGTGCAAAACAACAGAATTTGCACAACAACCCAGTAGGTGAAAACAACCACCACTGCCAATTGCTGTGTGTCAAGGTCTAAATGGATCACAGTCAGGAAGTAATTTCTTTCCAAAATATACATGAAAACATGAGGTGTGTCATCAGCTATTTTACTACATCTCAGAACACATGTGTGAGATCATTTTGAGTGTGCTATAATGAACAGAGCTCCTCTAGCATGAAAACTTCTGCTATTCCTCTGGCTCCTTTGGATATGCCAAGCTGCATGTCTCCAGGAGATGGGCTGTAGGAGCCTGAAACGCAAGGTGTGAGGATGAGGCAGCAATGGGGATTATAATAATCAGAAGGATCTTTATTTCTATCTGGAGACATGGTTAGAACTTGTTAACTTCTTCGGGCCAGTCCCTAGAAAAATGTGGCATACCGCTGTCTCTGAGCTCTCCCTGCACACACTTCATGTGTTATTTGCACATGAGGAGGAGACTTAGACAGCAGATGCTGCAGAAAGGGAATCAGTGAATATTTATTCAGATTCTGCACAGCTGCTCATCTCCACTCCTCCCCCACTGTCTTTTGTTTCTTATTCATGAGGACGGGTCTGAGTGGGGTTCTGTCTGACATGTACGTTTGGGACACAGCTGTGGCGGGGGGGTTTCTGCATTAGGAAGCAGAAATCTTGTAATTAAAATCATTCTGACATGTAGTTCAAGAGCTGTAAAGCACAGCACATCAGCGAGGGAGCCACTTACATGGCCTGAATGGGAGAAGGGAGCAAACTGCAGACACCCCCCACTGAATGAAGTCTATTTGCATGAACCACTCATGAAATAATTACCAAGAGCAACGAAAAGCGAAGTCTGTTTGCTAATGATTCATGAGCTGGATAAAGGCTTGAATTAGTTGGATAATTTATTTGTAAAAATAATCTAGCCAGCTGTAATTAGAAGGCTGGATAGAGTGATCTAGAAAGAGAAGGAAATCATTCCCAACAGCACATGACCTTCCAGAGGTATTACTGTTTTTGAACAGAAGCATTCCTTACGGCCTGTGAGCTTGCCTGGGTGCAGGGTGGATCTGGTGGAGGCCTAAGAACCAGGATGCTTTTTTTTAAATTTTAAGTGTAGGGATCTTTTCCTTTCTTGGCTTTGGCCTATTTGAGCAGTTGGTACTATTCCCAGTGGCTTTTGGGTGTAGATCAAAGCATTGCTGAAATCACTTTCAAGTCAAGCAGAGAGCATTTGGAATTAGATCAGCAACTAGCTTCATTTTAAAAGAGTTAGAGATTTTCTGTTGAGAGAAAAAAGTTGGCTTTTTTTTAAAAAAAAAAAAAACATAGTAGGGCATTAACTTTCCTAAAAGTTTCTCCAAATAGTTCAGGTCTTCTCCCCAACCCCAGCTCTCATAGAGGCTGAGATAGGGATGCCCCTTGTGTGAAGCAGCATCCTCTGGGGACAGCACCTCTAACCCACGATGAATATCCCCAGGCCTGCGTGTGATCGATCCCAGCACTGCTCGTTTCGCCTGCCAAAGCCTTGAGCTCAAATGGCTCCTTGTCTGTCAGCTGGCCTGACCCTGACACGGGTGGCAGAGGCTGACAATTGTGCTTTGTCCTCGTCCTTGCTGCAGGGCTGTTCCCTTCTCTGCTGGGAGGGAAACACGGAGGGCAAAGAACTTGGCTGGGCAGCAGGAGGAGAGGAAAGGGGCCACAGGCAGGTAAGAGGCTCTTGGCAGGGTCATGCTACCATGAGGAGTAACCAACCTATTGCTTTGTGCAGAGCATTGTCCCATCATCCTCACAGAGGAACAAGCCAGCTTTTGCTATGGACCTTCCTCTCAGCACTCACTTCCAGCCACATATGCATGCTAACAGCAACAAAATTGTGATGCAGCCCCTTAGGAAGTTACCTGCCTCCCCTGGGCCACTGAGGAGTTCTTCTCTGACCTCAGTATCCCTGCTTCAGCCTAGCAAGCTGTGTGAGTGGACCCTCCTCTGTTCAAAAGGAAAATCCTGGACAGAAAAATTTCTGGACAGAAAACAGGCACTGGCTGACCCAAACATCAGCAGTTGTGTCAAACTCACCTCTGCTGGCCTGTAGTTAATCATCCCTGTCTGCTATTGCTGACCTGCTCTGAAGCCTTTGGAACAACACTTAAAGGGGCCTTTCCTTGAAATTTCCTTGCAATGAAATGTCAAAGGGACTGTTGCAGCTCTCCATTGCATGAGGAAGCAACAAAAGAAAATATGCTAACCATGCCCTTGGTTTTCTAACAAAGGGCTCTTCAAAGTGTCTTCCTTCTAAACTATAAGAGTATTCCCTTACGTAGAAGGGGTGACAAAACTCTCTTTCCTAGTCATGGGTTGCTGCAGTTCAAGCCAAGCCCTTTCCAACCTTCCCACTGCTGGAGAGAGCTCTATCCTCCTCCCAGGGAGGGCCAAGGCTCAGCTGAAAGTAGGCTGACAGCTTCATATAGGGGTTAAAAGGACCTCACATAGGGAGAAGTCTATTTTTAATTAGCTTTGTAAATTGGTGTAATAATTTTAATGATTTGGAGATTGCTCCTCTAAGGTATATCTGGGAGCTACAGTGGATTTTTTATCTCTCCCAGGGGAAAATCAGCAACATTCAAAGAGAAGCAAGTCCCTTAGATACTGAAAAGCAACTGTTTGTTGCTATCTATGTAACAGTCCTGTGCAGAGGGGTTTGAGAAAGGGGTGGGTGGGAAGGGTTTCCACCAGATCAAAATAAGGCTGTGAATCATCAATGTCACACTGTTGGGAAAATGTGTAAGACCACACTAAGATGTATGGCTAGACTCCTGTGAAGAGCCTGGGCAGGAATCCTTCAGCACTGGTGACTGCTATGAGCTCATTCAGACAGCTGGCATCACACTTCAAAATGTTTGTGCATCAGCTGGGCACACCCTGGGAGGAGGGTGCCAACAGAGGTCAGTGGTCGAGAAAACAAGATGTGTGAGAAAAGACAGAGAGTACTGCCTAAGCTAGAGAAAATGACATTGCTTGAGGAGGAGGAGGATGTGATGCAGTCTGCAACACATAAAAGGCCACTGCAAAAAGTATGGGATTTTTTTTTTCTTCATATTTTTGCTGGGGAAAGGAAATGTAATGAACTGCAGCAAGAGGAATTACAGGCTACAGATGCACTGAAGTAGATTGTCTTGGATGGGTGAGTTTCCATCATGGTAACATTAGATAAGTATCTGCTAGGAATGGCCCAGATATAGGCTATTCTCTTTTGGGCAGAAGATTGGTAAAATGAATGTTCGAGGTCCCTTTTAACCCATATTTTTTTACTAGTCTACATTCAATATGATAAAGCCTCCCACTAGTCACACACAGGGGGATAGAATTCTGAAACTGGAATGCAGGGATAAGGAATGGACATTTGTTCCAAAGGTTGCTGAGCCTTGAAGAGAATCAGAGAGTTTCCAAGTCAGAATACAGCATCAAAAAGGATTAATTTCATGCCTTATAATGCCAAGCAGGATGCTGTCCACACATCATTAGGAGTCAAGGCTTTTAAGATCTGCTCTACACTGGCACAGAAAGCAAAATTTGCCCCAGTGGCCTGTGTAAAAGCCATAAAAATGAAATTCTCCCTCATGCCTGCTTGCAATACACTGGCTACCAAAGAAGATTTGTTTGTCACCCTCCAGCCCAGGTGATGGCTGCATTCCAGCAGTGCTGCCAGAACGGCAGAAAGGTGCACAGAATACTTGG